ACCCTCCTGCCCCTCCTCATCCTCCTGCCCCTCCTCACCCTCCTGCCTGCACCAGCTGGGCCGGGACTGCAGGGTCCCCTTCCTGAGGCTCCCCGGGTCGTTGCTTTGGACACCAGTGAGCAGAGCCAGCTGCCATCCCCAGCCTGGGACCCCAACTCTGACATGCCTCCTGTCCCTCATCCCCCTACCCACCTGCTCCCCCGTGCCCCCATCTCTCATCCCGCCTCTCCCGGGGTGCCCGCTGTGCCCTCCTGCCCTGCCAGCTGCTCCGGCATCCAGGATGCTGCTCCAGCAGCCCCGGCCTCGTCAATCACTGTCACCCTGAGCTGGCAGGTGCTCCGTTGCTCCGGCACTTTCTGCTCTGGATGACCTGTATCCCGGGGGAAGGCGGGAGGGGGGAGTGGGGGGTGGCAGAGGCACCAGCTGGAGGGGCTGGGGGGAGCGTGGGGGGCTGCACTCCCACAGGGAGCTGAGGTGGGCCCAGGGAATGGCTCCAGTTCATCCCAGCATCACCCACCCTGCACAGTGTTTCCTGCTTGGGAATGATCTCCATCGGGAATGATGGGGGTCCCATGACCCTCCTCAGAGAGGGGGAAGCCCCCCAGGCCCCCTTCTCCACGGGTCTGTATGGGGGGGTCTCTGCTTGAGCACCATGGGGGGGCCCAGCCATGGACCCCCACACTTGCTGTCGAGCCAGGGGCTCCATCCAATCCATCCCTGGGGTCCATCACCTCGTCCCCCTGCTGTGTGCCAGGCTGAGCCCCTAAATCTGCTCTGGCACGTCCCACACAGGAGAGAGGAACCTGGGCAGGCAAAGGCAGCTCCACGGGGCTGTGGGAAGGGGATCTGGGGGGTCTCAGCCCATCGGGGGGGCACAGGGGGGGGACAGGGTGTGCGGTGCAGAGCTGTGGCTCAGCATCCATCCCCGCACCCCCCCGGCCCGGCCAGCCCCCCACTCCCCCCCCGGCTCCCCCCGAGCGCCGCCGCTGCCTTCGCCCTTATCTATATTTCAACGCAGCTTCAAAGCCCGGCTCCTTCGCCAGCCAGAGAGGGGGGGCAGGACCGGGATGGCAAGATAACGGGAGGAGGGGAAGAGGGGCACCCCCGGGCTGGGAGAGACGCATTTTGGGTGTTGGGGGGTGGCTGCAGCTCCCCCTGCACCCCAGCTCTGCTCCATCGCTCCATCCATCAGACCTCGAGCCCCTCACATCCTGCCCTGGGGAGGCCGAGGGGCAGCGGTGACCCCACAGCTGGGAGCCCCCCAAACCCACCCGCAGTGAGGGGCCGGGGGCTGCAGCCCGTGGGGAACACCCGCAGCAGCACACGCTGCCGAGCCCCCACCACCGGGAAGGATTTCTGGAGGTTTCCGAGAGCTCTGGGCTGGATTTCCATCGCAGCCAGGGCTGGGAGCCAGGGCCCGTCCCCAGCAGCACTGCAGGCACCTGCACCCTCCTCCCCTGCCTCAGTTTCCCTTTGCAATCCCCCCCTGCCCATGATCCCCCGCAGGGGTGAGTGGGGTGGGATGGGGTGGGATGGGAACGGGCTGGGATGGGAATTGATGGAGACGGTGATGCAGGGACAGGGAAGGGACAGGGACGGGCAGGCAGTGGGGAGGGGATGCAGTGGCAGCAGGGGAGACGGGCAGTAGCCCCCTGTAGTCCTGGGGGCTGCAGGGCCCGAGGCCAGGCCGGTGCAGGAGGTGCAGGAGGGCAGAGCCAGGAGCCAGAGGGCACAGATAGGAACGGACAGAGCAAACAGCCCCCACCCCTGCAGTGCCCCCAGCCCCTGCTGGCAAAGGGCCAGGCTGGCAGCCCCCCAACCCCTCCAGTCCCTCCGCAGGAGCTGCCGGGGGAGCGGGAGATGAAAGGGAATTGCAGAGCAGGGCAGCGGCTGCGGTGCAGGCAGGGCGATCGATCGCGGCACCGGCACCGGCGCAGTCCGGGGGCGTGGGGGGACCCTCGCTGCCCGCAGCCCCCGCTGAGCCCCGGCACGGG